CTGGGAGGCTGAGGCAGCAGGATCACTTTAGCCTGAGAGGCAGAGGTTGCAGTGAGCAGGGATGGAGCCACTGCACCACTCCACCCTGGGTGACAGAGGGAGACCCTGTCTCAAAAAAAAAAAAAGGAATTTTAAGAGCTGGTTGTTGAACATGGCCATTATTTAATTAAATGTTATAAACTTACCATTAAACAAGTTATAGAGTTGGGTGTGGTGGCTCACACCTATAATCGCAACTTTTCAGGCAGCTGAAGCTGGATGATCTCTTGAGTCCAGGAGTTCAAGGTTACAGCGAGGTATGATTACTCCATTGTACTCCAGCCTGGGTGCTGGGTGACAGAGCGAGAGCTCATTTCTTTTTTTTTTTTTTTTTGAGACGGCATCTTGCTCTGTCGCCCAGGCTGGAGTGCAGTGGCACGATCTCGGCTCACTGCAAGCTCCACCTCCTGGGTTCACGCCATTCTCCTGCCTCAGCCTCCTGAGTAGCTGGGACTACAGGCACCTGCCACCACGCCTGGCTAATTTTTTGTGTTTTTTAGTAGAGACGGGGTTTCACCGTGTTAACCAGGATGGTCTCCATCTCCTGATCTCATGATCCGCCTGCCTCGGCCTCCCAAGGTGCTGGGATTACAGGCGTGAACCACCGTGCCCAGCCACGAGAGCTCATTTCTAAAAAATAAATAAATAAAATAAAAACAAAGGTAATAAATAACCCAAACTCATCACTGTGTAATTACTTTTATATATTTCACTATCATTTATGCTCACTTTTTTTTGGCTGGGTATAGGGGACTTTATTGACGGTACATGACAAAGTGGGATCTCATAGTCCTCTCCCATTCTTCAGGGAGCCTGGCGTGGAAACTGTGTTCAGGATGGGGAGATTCTCAGTGTCGTGGGGGACTGAGTTTGGCAGGGATTCCCCAGCAGCTGAGGGCCTCTCTTCCTCTCGTGCTGTCATTGGGGCTAGTGGTTCAGAGGGCTCTTACTCCTTGGAAGCCATGTAGACCATAAGGTATATCGTTCTGTTGCTGTAGCCAAATTCATTGTCATATCAGGAAATGAGCTTGACAAAGCGGTCACTGAGGACAATGCCATTCCCAGGATCTAAGGTGAAAAAGGTGGGTGTCTCTGTTAAAGTTGGAGGAGACAACCTACTGCTCAGTGTAGCTCAGGAGGCCCTTGAGGGGGGCCTCTGATGCCAGCTTCACCACCTTCTTGATGTTATCATATTTGGCAGCTCTCTCCAGATGGCAGATCAGGTCCACAACCCACATGTTGGCAATGAAGACATGGAAGGCCATGCCAGAGAGCTTTCTGTTAAGCTCAGGGATGGCCTTGCCCACAGCCTTGGCAGAGTGGGTAAATGCAGGGATGATGTCCTGGAGAGTCTTGTGGCCATCATGCCACAGTTTCCCAGAGAGGCCATCCGCAATCTTCTGGGTGGCAATGTTGGCACCAACTGTGGCCATGAGTCCCTCCATGATGCCAAAGTTGTCATGGATGACCTTGGGCAGGATAGCTAAGCAGTTGGCAGTACAGGAAGCATTGCTGACAATCACGAGGTTGTTTTCATACTTCTCAAGGTTCACGCCCATCACAAACATGGGGACATCAACAGAGAGGGCAGAGATGACCCCTTTGGTTGCACCCTCTAAGTGAGCCCCAGTGTTCTCCAAGGCAGTGAAGAGGCCAGTGGACTTCACAACATAACCAGCATCAGGACCAGCCCATTTGATTTTGATAGGATTTTGTTCCTGGAAGATGGTGATGGGATTTCCACTGATGACAAACTTCTCGTTCTCAGCCTTGATGGTGCCATGGAACTTGTCATGGGTGGAATCATACTGGAACATGTAGACCATGGAGTTGACCTGAATGAAGTGGTCATTGATGGTGACACTATCCACTTTGCTAGAGTTAAAAGCAGCCCTGGTAAACAGGCTTCCAATATGGTCCGATCTGTTTACTCTGGCCTTCACTCACACCATGATGTCTCAAGGCTGCTGCTGGTGCTACACGAGAAGATGTGTCTGTATGTCGTATGGAAAGAGCAGAGGGCTCATCTGTACTCCTGAATTAACTTACATTTATTGTATCTATATGGTGAAAATACTATATAATAGTGTACTTTTTTTTTTTTTTTTTTTGAGACGGAGTTTCACTTTTGTTGCCCAGGCTGGAGTGCAGCGGCAGTATCTCGTTTCACTGCAACCTCTGCTTCCTGGGTTCAAGCGATTCTTTTCCTCCACCTCCCAAGTAGATGGGGTTACAGGCACACACCACCATGCCTGGCTAATTTTTTGTATTTTTAGTAGAGATGGGATTTCACCATGTTGGTCAGGCTGGTCTTGAACTCCTGACCCCAAGTGATCCACCCGCCTCGGCCTCCCGAAGTGCTGGGATTACAGGCATGAGCCACCACGCCTAATAGTGTACTATTTATGGTATCTCTCCTCAACTCTGCATTCAGTGATGTCACATTGGCAGCTTAAAATTGATGAAGGTGGGAGTGTTTAATCATTAAAATCCACAAACACTGCAAATCATGCCCCTTCTTCCCTCAAGCTGGTTGTTAAACTTTTACCAGAATACCCGGGTCCTGATTGTACTCCTAATGTCCTATGTGATTTTGAGCAAAGCCCTGTTTTCCCCAGACTCCTATGTATTTATGTATCACTTTATAATTGACAAAAGGGCAGCATCTTTGTGTGCTAGGCGCTGTTGTCTCATATAATTCTTAGAACTACCCCAGGGGTAGAATATTGTAGTCCAAAGAGCAAAGAAGAACTTTGCTCCAGGGTGGCTCTGTTACCAGAATTCCCAAAAGATGGCACTGTGGACTGGCACACTGTCTTTCAGTGCCATGTTCTCCACATTGGTTAAAGGATAACAATTACATACATATGATATATATAATATAATATATAATATACATATGGCATATAATATAATATATAATATACATATGATATATAATATAATATATAATATACATATGGCATATATAATATAAATATAGTATACATATGGTATATATAATATATAACATATGGCATGTATAATATAAACATAGTATACATATGGTATATATAGTATATATTATTTACATATGGTATCTATAGTATAATATATATTATTTACATACGATATATAATATTTGCATATTATATATAATACATATTATGTATATATTATATATAGTTTTTGAGATGGAGTTTTGCCCTTGTTGCCCAGGCTGGAGTGCATGGTGCGATCTCGACTCACCGCAACCTCCACCTCCTGGGTTCAAGCGATTCTCCTGCCTCAGCCTCCCAAGTAGCTGGGATTACAGGCATGCGCCATTACACTTGGCAGTGTATATGTATTTTAAGACGGGGTCTCACTCTGTCTTCCAGGCTGGAGTGCAGTGGCACGATCTCGGCTCAATGCAACCTCTGCCTCCTGGGCTCAAGCCACCCTCCCACTTCAGCCTCCCAAGTAGCTGGGACCACAGGCACACGCCACCATGTCTGGCTAATTTTTGTATTTTTATAGATACGGGGTTTTGCCATGTTGCCTAGGCTGATCTTGAACTCCTGGACTCAAGCAGTCCACCGGCCTCAGCCTCCCAAAGTGCTAGGCTTATAGGCATGAGCCACCGCGTTTGGTCAATAATAATATTCTTTTGGGCACCTCCAGCGTTGCTTTTGGGACTCACACATCATAAGCCTCCTTCTTGGCTATTTCTGGAAGTGGGGAAAGATCTAGCTCCCTCTGGCTTCTGTATAAGGGAGGTGGGAGGCAGGAAGTGGAATATTCTTCTTACTACAATAGCGAGGGTTTTTCCCAAAAGGGAGACTGGGCTTGGATGCAGATAACCCGAACATCAACTGTCCTGTTCCCCATTTGCTGCCAAACACATACACTCTGTGTTTTGAACTTAGACTTGCTTCCCAGTTAGTATAAAGTAACTACCACTTCTGTAATTAAAAACATTGTTTTAATTACTCTCCAATGAAGGCATCCCAAAGCCTTGACGACTGTCCTCCAGCTCTCTCATAATTCCTGCTTAGGAATCTGCAATCCATGACTGAATGGTGAAGTTAATTTCCCTATAAAACCACCTAGAGACAATAGTGGCAGAAAGGGAAAAGAAAGAGAAGTAAAAGTATTCAAAATATGTAAATATCTACATCAAGGAAAGAAATTCAAGTAGAGACTATAATCCCCCCCCTCTGTAAAGCAGTCTAAGGCTGATCTTGTATTTATGACTTTCATTCTTTACTATCTATTCTAGGTTCCATCTGCCTTCAGTCAGCAACAGATGGTCAAGTTATTTAGCCACAGGAGAGACCACCCCTTCATTCCTGAGCAATCTGTGGCCTAAAAGATCCTTTTGTATAGAACTGCAGTAGTTTTGCAGTGCCTTTGATCACAGAATATTGCAGTAGTTGTAGGATCCTCTGGAAACATAGCAAAGTCTATCACTAAAGCTCCCTGCCTCCACTCAACCTATTTCCACTTGGTAGCTAGAGTTTAAAATTCTAGAAAATATCTTGATTTTTTTTTTTTTCGGCCTGTCTGTTCAGTGGCAGGAGATGCTCAAAAAGGTTGAGTGGCAATTTCAATTTCCAGTTTGGTGAAAAATTGTGTCACTTGATGGAGGCATTTCTCCCTTGGAGACTAAAATTTTAACATACCTCTCCTCCCTACAGTCATAGGGTCAAGAAGCAAATAACTTATGAGTGAGTCAAAAAGTTTCATTGTGGGCCAGGCTCAGTGGCTCACACCTGTAATCCCAGCACTTTGGGAGGCTGAGGCAGATGGATCGCTTGAGGCCAGGAGTTTGAGACCAGTCTGGGTAACATGGCAAAACCTCGTCTCTAAAAAAATACCAAAAAAATTAGCCGGGCTTGGTGGCTCGCACCTGTGGTCCTAGCTACTTGGGAGGCTGAGGTGGGAGGATTAGTTGAGCCCGGGAAATGGAGGTTGTAGTAAGCCAAGATTGCACCACTGCACTCTACCCTGGGTGACAGAGGGAGACCATGTCTCAAAAAAAAAAAAGTCTAAGTATGACAGAAACCACTCCTACATTCAGCCCTTGGTTTCTGAACTATGTATCTGGCTAAAGGAGAAATGGTATACTGGTTCAGAGCATATACTGCATCCTTTTAACAGCGCTGTATCTCACAGGGTGCTATCTAACAGCTGGTAGATTACCTGGGCCTTCAGTAGACTTTGCCACCACTCTAGAAGGTTGGCTGATGGAGCGCAGGTCAGACCAGTGAATCCTGTGGTGTCCGCTTACTGTTTCACTTCTTTTCTTGTGAAGTGAATTTCATGGTCAGAAACAATATTGTGTGGGACACTAAGACTGTGTATTAAGTCCATAGATGGAGGTTCTGAGAGAAGAATGAGAAGCAGGGAAAGGAAATTCAAACCCAGAGTAAGCACTGTCACCAGTGAGACAAATTGTTCCTTCTTCACAAGGGACATAGTCCTATGTTATTGATCTGCCACCAAATAGTTGGTTTGTTCCATCAAGGTATGACACCACATCAAGAGTCCAGGACTGTTTGCTCCTGTAGGCAAACTGGGCATCAGTAGGTCAGTAGTGGTGGTTGCCAGGATGGCCTTGGACAGGGATGTCGCTGTTCTTGGGCCTATGCATAATTTCCACTTCTGTCACTATCGTCCTCTGTCCATGAACCCACTGAACAAGAACTGGACTGGCTGGCGGAAAAGGCCATCTAGTTAATATCCACAGAACATCATATCTGCTGATTATTAAAAGCTTCCTGCACAGTGGTGGCCCATGGCAAGCAATCATTTGACACACCTGCTGTCTCATGATCTGGGACCATTCCAGGAAATCCACCTTTCCCAAACCTCTTTGTCATTAACTTGCAATCTTTTTTTTTTTTTTTTTTTTGAGACGGAGTCTCGCTCTGTCGCCGGGGCTGGAGCGCAGTGGCCGGATCTCAGCTCACTGCAAGCTCCGCCTCCCGGGTTTACGCCATTCTCCTGCCTCAGCCTCCTGTGTAGCTGGGACTACAGGCGCCCGCCACCTCGCCCGGCTAGTTTTTTGTATTTTTTTAGTAGAGACGGGGTTTCACCGTGTTCGCCAGGATGGTCTCGATCTCCTGACCTCGTGATCCGCCCGTCTCGGCCTCCCAAAGTGCTGGGATTACAGGCTTGAGCCACCGCGCCCGGCCTAACTTGCAATCTTTTAAGACCCTGAGCTGCTCACACTATTTGTCATTGGCTGGTGAACTGGTATAGATCCTGACCTCAGGCCATTTCTCCTACCAGGCAAAGTGGACAATGAAATGCACTGCTTACAGTTCTGCCTATTTCCTGCTCTTTCAGAATCTGCCATCTGAAAACCAGGCTCTCATATATTTTTTTCTTTACAGTGGAGCCTTGTCACAATCATTTACATAGTCATGAATATTCTAATGGCTGGGTCTATTTCAGCGGGTCTATCCTTGTTTCTCTCTCCCAAACTTGTTTTGTTGTTGTTGAGACAGGGTCTCACTCTGTTGCCCAGGCTGGAGTGCAGTGGTGTCATCTCTGCTCACTGCAACCCCCACCTCCCAGGTTGAAGTGATTCTTGTGCTCCCACTTCCTGAGTAGCTGGAATTACACGCGTGGCCACCAAGCCTGGCTAATTTTTGTGTTTTTTGGTAGAGACAAAGGTTTCGCCATGTTGGCCAGGCTGGTCTAGAACTCCTGACCTCAAGTGATCTGCCTGCCTTGGCCTCCCAAAGTGCTGGGATTACAGGCGTGAGCCACTGCGCCCAGCCTTTCCATAGTGATAGCCATGTCTTGATCTCCTGACCTCATGATCCACCCGCCTCGGCCTCCCAAAGTGCTGGGATTACAGGCTTGAGCCACCGCGCCCGGCCCTCCTAAACTTTTTATTCTGTCATATTGCTTCCTTCAGTAACTATGGCCTATGATTCAGTGTTGATTCTGATTTCAAGACATCTCTGCCTTGAGACAAAGTGGAAAACCATATGCCTTGCTCCAGCGGCCACCAAGAAGAGCTCCTTTCTCCGCTATCCTTCAGAGTGACCTTGCTCAGGCCATGACAGTCCATTTCCAGCTCATACCAGCACGTTGTACAGAGCCATGCATAACAGAATTCACACTTGCTTCCTCCTGTATGACCTGGGTTGGAGTCTCTGGAGCAGTGTGCAGGAATGGGCACTGGGAGTGAAAACAGCCTGCTCATTGCACCCTCAGGGCTGTTTAGGCCACATTCTCCATGGACCACTTTCACTTGAGAATGACTGAGTATTGGCGATCAGAAAACACCCAATCTGACCTAGGCATTGATTCAACATGCACCTCACTATGTTGCCACCAGGCATGGAGTCTGCGAGTTGGTCTGTGATCTCTACAGGCTCCGATACCTGGCAGCCACCCTCCTGCCTCCCGGATTCAAGGCAATTCATCCCTCGCCTCAGCCTCTCTGGAGTAGTGCATGGGGATTAGCAGGTATCCCGCCACCCTGGCAGTACGCCCACGGCCGGTTTCTATTTCCTGGTCTAATTTTCGTCAGTCTGGGATTCAGGTACCGCACCGGCCCCTCAGACACTTAAGCTGTGGATTTCTTGTCAGGCCAATCTGACCGTTTGCACTGCAGCTACCATTGGAGGCATCCTCTTACTCTGTCCTCAACCGAACTCATGTAGGGGGTGGGTGTGGGTCAGCTATATCCAGCCTTAAGCGAGGTGGTGTTTGCTTGAGGCCAGGAGTTCAAGACCAGCCTGGCCAAAACCCTATCTCTGCTAAAAATAAAAGTAAAAAAAAATTATTTAAAAAAGACAAAAAAAGAAGTAGTGTACCTAGTAATGTTTGTATGTTGCCCGCAAAATCCAAAGAGACCTATCAAGCACTGGGATTCCTTCTTAGAGGAAGGAAGACTGAAGTACAGCAACCTGTCCTCTGCTCTGGAGGGAATGTCCTGGTGCGTCTCAGACTGTGTGACTTCCAAATTTTTTTTTTTTTTTTGAGATGGAGTCTCGCTCTGTCGCCCAGGCTGGAGTGCAGTGGCATGATCTCTGCTCACTGCAAGCTCCGCCGCCTCCCAGGTTCACGCCATTCTCCTGCCTCAGCCTGCCTAGAAGCTGGGACTACAGGCGCCCGCCACCATGCCCGGCTAATTTTTTGTATTTTCAGTAGAGACGGGGTTTCACCGTGTTAGCCAGGATGGTCTCGATCTCCTGACCTCGTGATTTGCCTGCCTCGGCCTCCCGAAGTGCTGGGATTACAGCGTGAGCCACCGCACCCGGCCAATGACTTCCAAAATTTTAATGAAATGGCAGCCTGCTATATTTTTGCTGGATTTATCTCCTACCCTTTTATACCCACTGTTTTCTACCTTTGGGTTTGTGTCAGCACAGTGCCACCAAAGTAGTAGAACAGCATGACAGCCTGTAGAATGAAATGACAAATACTTGGATTGACTCTTGACCTCTATGCCACCCTCCTTCTATTGGATGCATTGTAAAGTGAAATATCACATTTCCCAGAGTCCCTTGCAGTTAAGGTTCTGCTCATGAACTAGGTTCCTTCAAGTAGGCACATCCATGTGAGATGTGGGAAAGCAGCTGTGAGGCAGAAGTCACCTTTCTGCAGAAGTGGCTGCTGGCAGAGATGCCTGCTTGAAATACATTGAGTTGTTTCTGCACTGAACTGACTGATACAGATGATGGCAGAGCCAAAATTTCTACAGACCAAATTGGGGCACAGAGCAGAAGGGTTGGCTTTTCTTTGAGGAAAGATTATAATGTAAATTTTTTTTTTTTTTTTTTTTTTTTTGAGATGGAGTCTCACTCTGTCACCCAGGCTGGAGTGGAGTGGCACGATCTTAGCTCACTGCAACTTCTGCCAGCCTCAGCCTCCCAAAGTGCTAGGATTACAGGTGTGAGCCACTGTGCCTGGCCATAAAGCAAATTGCTGCTGCTGTTTTTGTTTTTTTGTTTTTTTTCATTGAGATGGAGCTACGGTCTGTCACCCAGGCTGGAGTACAATCTTGGCTCACTGCAACCTCCACCTCTGGGGTTCAAGCAATTCACCTGCCTCAGCCTCCCAAGTAGCTGGGATTACAGGCAGCCACCACCATGCCCAGCTAATTTTCTGTATTTTTAGAAGAAACAGGGTTTCACTATGTTGGCCAAGCTGGTCTCGAACTACTCTCCTCAAGTGATTCACCTGCCTCAGCCTCCCATAGTGCCGGGATTACAAGCATGAGGCACCGCACCTGGCCACAAATTGCTTCTTATGTTCTCTGTCATATTGGAGAAAAATGCATTTGCTTGTCCAAATTCTGGGAGTTGCACTGATATACTCCCCCAATAGCCACATCTGAAATAGCAGTGGTAACTCAGGCTGCCATTTGATTCAGTTTACAATATTCCTCCACCTTCTTGAAGACCCTCTGTCTCTTTCTCTATCTAGATTGAAGACATGGATATGGATGTGACAGAAGTCACCACCTCTGCATATCTGAAGTCTTTGATGGTGGCATTAAACTTTGCAACGCTTTCAGGATTTTTTATTTCATTTTTATTAAAAAAAATTTTTGGCTGGGTGCAGTGGTTCAAACCTGTAATCCCAGCACTTTGGGAGGCCGAGACGGGCGGATCACGAGGTCAGGAGATCGAGACCATCCTGGCTAACCCGGTGAAACCCCATCTCTACTAAAAAATACAAAAAAAAAAAAACTAGCCAGGTGAGGTGGCGGGCGCCTGTAGTCCCAGCTACTCGGGAGGCTGAGGCAGGGGAATGGCGTAAACCTGGGAGGCAGCGGAGCTTGCAGTGAGCTGAGATCTGGCCACTGCACTCCAGCCTAGGCAACAGAGCGAGACTCCGTCTCAAAAAAAAAAAAAAAAAAAAAATTTTTTTTAGTTGCTCTCTCAGCATACCAGGATTTTTAATTTTAATTTACATTTTGGTGGGAATGAAAAACTTTGATGAGTTCTACTTTGTTTTTCTCTTTTTTTGAGATGGAGTCTCACTCTGTTGCTCAGGCTGGAGTGAAGTGGTATGATCTCGGCTCACTGCAACCTCTGCCTCCCAGGTTCAAGCGATTCTCCTGCATCGGCCTCCTGAGTAACTGGGATTACATGCATGCACCACCATGCCCGGCTAATTTTTGCATTTTTAGTAGAGACAAGGTTTTACCATATTGCCCATGCTGGTTTCAAATTCCTGGCCTCAAGTGATCTGCCAGCCTCAGCCTCTTAAAGTGTTGGGGGTTTACAGGCATGAGCCACCACACCCAGCTTGTTTTATTTATTTATTTATTTATTTATTTATTTATTTATTTTTTGAGAGAGAGTTTCACTCTCTCACCTAGGCTGAAGTACAGTGGTGCAATCTCAGCTCAATGTAAACTCCGCCCCTGGGTTCAAGCAATTCTCCTGCCTCAGCCTCCTGAGTGGCTTTGATTCTGGGCATCTGCCACCACACTTGGCTAATATTTGTATTTTTAGTACAGATGGGGTTTCCCCATGTTGGCCAGGCTGGTCTCGAACTCCTGACCTCAGGTGATCTGCCTGCTTCAGCTTCCCAAAGTGCTAAGATTACAGGCATGAGCCACCATGCCCAGCCTGTTCTTCTTATAATAAAAACTATTAACCTATGGTCTGGAAGCTAATGCAGGTTTCTGCCAGTATTTTAGGATATTTCTTAACAGTTACACACATGAGGACAAAACTATCAGTTTTTGGGACTAGATCCACCCTAAAGTGGACTTTGGTCAAAACTCCATTTGTCACCTAAATCCCTATGCCCCCCGTTGTCTCTTGATACTTAGCCTCTCAGTTGACCATCTGCCATCTGCCCTGTACTGCCAGAGCTAGACACCAGCCAACAACACTTCCCAGATTCCACTGCTAGCTGCGTCCCAGTTACGTTGTGCCAATGGGAGGTGCCTGGTTATATTTGAAGGTGAGAGGAAGGGAGAAATTCTTAGGCTTTAGGAGGTGCCTTACCTTTAGCAGTGGTGGCTCCTCCAGCACTGTCAGTAGTGAGAGTGGGGTTGTTGGCTTCACCCCCAGGGTGGTTTCCTGGGCTCTGGAAAATGTGACATTTTACTCTTAGCTCCTTTGGCATTTCCAACATCTTTGTAAGCAAGTCCCTGCATTGTATACATTTCTGCTTGAAATATGTTGAATGTTCTCTGTTTTTCTTATCGACACTTACTCATACATTTCCATAAGCCCACACTCTGAATGCTGAAGCCCAGAGGCATTGTGGGTCTCCAGGAATCAATGTGGTTAGTGGTCTGATTGTCCCCAAGAGGTTTGGGTATTTGACTGGAAGGGTATGCGTCCCTTTAAGGAGTCAATCTTGACTTGCTGAGCTGATAAAATTCCCATGGGGAGAACAAGGCCTCATACCTTGTCTGCACAGTCCCCACACAGAGTTCCCAACCTGTGGTCAGTAAAGAATGTCACTTTCTAACAGGTCCAGGAGCTCCAAGTTTATTTTAGGATCCAACTCACAGGTATCTGAGGATACAAACCCATGGCTGGGTTCAGCTTTAAAAGGTCTTATCTGAGATTCCTTGTGGAACAGAGTTCCATCAAAACCAATCCAAAAGGCTTATGTAGAAATTACTCTTCTTGCTGCACTTTATGCAAATAATCAGGCTAAGTATAAAACTAAAGTTTATTCTACGAACAACATAGTCCTATCATAATTTGTTTTTACCAAAAATGAGGACTAGAGAGAGAAATTACGCTCCCAAGCTTATATATTTGTCATTAAATCCTAGTCTCATTGTTTTTAAGCTTTTTGCCTGCGTTTTAGACTAACCCTGCTTATACCTGTGGATCAAGTGGTAAGTGGTGATCACCTGCAGCTTGGAAGAAGCAAAAAGGGATGGGTAATGTGAATATCTGGATCAATACGCTAGTTCTGGGCAATTATCCTGCAAATTCTGCCAGGTAATGAAAGTGAGTAGGGTGCCCATAACCCAGAGATTTGTTTGGCAAAATAAAACCAAGGAACTTCATAGACCCCCAAAGTGAAATTCAATATCTTGGTAAGTAAAATTTTAGATGGAAATAATCTAATACAACACCCTTGCAGAAATTTCTATACTCATTCTACTAATTGCAGTAGAGCTATACACAGTAGCACCTTCTAACTGAAATATTGGATAGTTTCCATCATTGTAGTATTTTGCTTATTTTATATATATATAAAATAGTTATATATAACTGTTATAACAGGGATAATAGTTACCAACAAAAAGGAAGCATGAAAGTTTTACTATCACCAAGTCTGCTAGGACTTTTTATTGGGTTTAGTGATACATCACACCCTTTAGCTCCTACACTATCAGCCATGGCCCATTTGTACAAAAAGACTAATTGTTGGGTCTGTCCTGAGCAATTTGCTCAGTTCAATAATGCTAAGGAACCTGCACTATGGTAGCAATGGTTCCCAACCTATTATTTTTAAATTGCACTGACATGGCCACATCATCTGGGGACATCCCTAACCTAGGTTCCTTTTTAGAAAGTGCACTATCTTGGAAGCCAGAGCTGGAGCCAGGTCAAGCCAGACTGGTGACATGGAGCCCCTGTACCAGTAAACCCACAAGCAGGTCCATTAGATCCAGTCTCACATGGGACGCCTGGAGATGGCAGACAAGCAGTTTGCATACTTAGTAGAAAACAAAATCCAAGCAAGCACAGACCAGATATTCAGCCGTCTAGAACATCTGGAGATTTTGTCCAGCAAGGAGCCCCCTAACAAAAGGCAGAATGCTAAACTTCGGGTTGACCAGTTAAAGTATGATGTTCAGCACCTGCAGACTGCTCTCAGAAACTTCCAGCATCAACACTATACAAGGGAGCAGCAGGAGAGACAGCAAGAAGAGCTTCTCAAACCTTCACCACTAACAATTCTCAATCGCAATCCTCTGATAACTGTTGAAGATTCGTATCTGTTTAAACTGCTGGCATTGCTGGACATGGTGGCTCACACCTGTAATCCAGCACTTTGGGAGGCCGAGGTGGGCGGATCACCTGAGGTCAGGAGTTCGAGACCAGCCTGACCGACATGGAGAACCCTGTCTCTACTAAAAATGCAAAATTAGCTGAGCGTGGTGACACATGCCTGTAATTCCAACTACTTGGGAGACCGAGGCAGGAGAATCGCTTGAACCTGGGAGGCAGATGTTGCGGTGAGCAGAGATTGCGCCACTGCACTCCAGCCTGGGCAACAAGAGCAAAACTCTGTCTCAAAAAAAAAAAAAAAAAAAAAATTGCCGGCATTAAAATATCTAGACACGGGAACAACACAAGTCCCACTTATAACAATTGAGAACATCCTCATGATGACTCTTGAATTGGAAAAACTAGCTATCAGCTTCCCAGTTTGCACAAATAATGTGGGGTCACTGGCACAAATGATGAGGCATCTCCGGGAAGTTTAACTTCCTATCTGTCCAATCTCTTGAACAGATAATGCCAGTTAGTTACTTTGTTTTGTTTGTTTGTTTGTTTTTTGAGACGGAGTCTCGCTCTGCTGCCCAGGCTGGAGTGCAGTGGTGCGATCTCGGCTTACTGCAACCTCTGCCTCCCAGGTTCCAGCGATTCACCTGCCTCAGCCTCCTGAGTAGTTGGGATTACAGGTGCCCATGACCACACCCGGCTAACTTTTGTAGTATTAGTAGAGACGGGGTTTCACCATGTTGGCCAGGCTAGTCTTGAACTCTTGACCCCAGGTGATCTACCTGCCTTGGCCTCCCAAAGCACTGGGATTACCGGCATGAGCCACCGTGCCCAGCCAGTTAATTACTTTGGATGTGGCTCTAAAACCTGAGTTGAGGCCTTCTGTAGGACTGGAGATGGTTCAACCTTCTCAGGTGGCTCTGATGACTGAGCTGGTATCTCCTGCTGTGGTGGAGGACTGACCTCTTCAGTGGACTTTGGAGGACGACCTGAGGCTTCCTGCTGGGTTGCAGATGGTTCAGCCTCCTTAGGGGGCGCTGGTGGCTCAGCTGGGAACTCTTGTGGGACTGGAGAAAGTTCTACTTCCTTAGAGGGATCTGGAGTCTGAGCTGTGGCCTGTTGCCTGACTGGAGATTCAATCCTTTCAAGAGAATCCAGAGGTGGGGAAGGGGGATCAGGCTGGGTTAGAGAAAAGTCAGCCTGCTCAGTGGGAATCGGAGGGTTGTCCTGCTGGAAGGGAGAAGGTTCAACCTCGACAGTTGGTAAGCTCCATATCCACATTTTTAACTGTGGTATTGGTTGTAAGGCCGGCCGAGGAAAAGGACAAGGAGACCCAAAGTCAGACGGGCAAGTTTTTATTGTCCTGCCGGGCTGCTCCTTGACTAGCAGAGGAGACAGCGCCGCTTACAGGCTGCAGCAGGGCTTTACAGGGCAAGGAACTGGGTCAGGGTGTGTGAACTGAGTTGGGAGCAGGTGTTCTGCCCACTTCCTGGAGATGTTTTTGCCAGCTTTGTTAAGCGAGGTTAACAGACATGTTAACCGCATCTTGTAACTGCCAGTTTAGCCGAAATCTTCTGGACAGTCACTGGAGGGTTCAGTGAAAGGGGGTTTGTCTTTTGCCCTGGGGTAGCTGTGTGGAGAGTGCAAGGGACTGTATTGTAAGGCCTGTGGGAGGGAAAGGGAACAGTCTGGTCAGGGTGACCCTAACAATAGTCAAAGTTGAATTACTTCTTAATATTGAAGACAGATCTAGAGTTGAAAATACCATCTCATCATTCTATGAACTTAAAGTCTGAGGAGAGCTGAGTTGGAGGCTGAGTTGTGGCCTCTTGATGGACTGGAGGAAGTTCATCATTTCAGGGGTATTTAGCTGCTGAATTACAATCTCTTGCTGGTCTTTCAAATGTTGAAACTGCTCAGGGGACATTAAGGACTGAGCTGGGGCCCCCTGTTGTATTAAAATTTCAACCTGATTAGTGAATTCTGGAGTCACGGCAACCATGTGATCCACAAGTTTAACAGTGACATTGTGCAATGTTGGAGGCTGAACTTGATCATGACTTAGAGGAGAAACTATTACCTTATAATGCTCTGGAGATTGAGCTACAACTTCATTACGGAGCTCTGAAGGCTGAGCTGGGGCTTCTTGATGGGTTGGAGAAGAATCAACCTCCTCAGGGGTCTGTGGATGCTCAGCTGCAGCCTCCTGCTGGGTTGGAAAGGGGTTCTCATCCTTAATAGGTTATGGTATTGAAGACTCCTGTTTAACTGGTAAAGGTCCAGCCTCTTCTGATGACTCTGGAGGCAGAGATGGGCCCCCATGCTGGGTGGCGGAAGGTTCTGCATCATTAACTGGCCCTGAGAGCTGAGCTGTAGCCTGCTGGTGGATTGGAGAAATTTCCCTCTCTGCAGTAGGCTCCGTTGCTATGGTGAGCTGCATATCTGGAGACTTAACAGTGACATTGGGCAAATCTGAGTGCTGAGCTTGAGGTAAAACTGTTACTTCATGATGTCTGGAGGCTGAGCTGGGATCTTCTCCTGGGTGGGAGAAGGTTCAACCTCTCCAGAAGACTCAGAAGGCTGAGCTGGCTTCTCCTGCTCTCTGGGAGAAGGTTCAGGCTTCACAGGAGAACCTGGAGGCTCAGCTGGGGCCTCTTCTTGGGTTGCAGAAGGTTCCACCTCCTCTGGAGACTGGGTTGGGGCCTCCTGCTGGGCTAGAGAAGATTCAATCTCCTTGGTAGGCTCTGAGGTTATGGTAACCTCTGCATCCGCAGGTTTCACTGTAATGTTGGGCAAGTTATAATGAGCTTGATCTTCACCAGGAGGGTGAAGTGTCGCTTCATGATTCAGTGGAGTTTGAGCTGCACTCTCCACAGAGGACTCTAGAGGCTGAGTTGGGGCCTCCTGCTGGGTCTGAGAAGGTTCAGCCTCCCCAGGAAACTCAGAAGGCTGAGCTGGCTTCTCCTGCTCACTGGGGGAAAGTTCAGCCTTCACAGGAGGACCTGGAGGCTCAGCTGGGGTCCCTTAGTGGGTTGCAGAAGGTTTCATCTCCTCAGGGTGCTCTGGTATCTGAGCTGGGGGCCTCTAATTGGGTTGAGGAAGAGTCCACCTCCTTAGGATGCTCTAGAGGCTGAGTTGCAGCCTATTCCTGGCTTGATGTAAGTTCCTTACCTGGTTCTGGAGTTACTGTAAGCTCCACATCCACAGGTTTGACTGTGACATTGGGCAAGTGTGAGTGCTGAGCTTCACTCTAACTTTTTTTTTTTGAGACAGAGTCTTGCTCTGTTGCCCAGGCTGGAGTGCAGTGGTGTGATCTCGGCTCACTGCAACCTCTGCCTCCCAGGTTCAAGCAATTCTCCTGCCTCAGCCTCCTGGGTAGCTGGGATTACAGGCGCCTGCCACCACGTCTGGCTAATTTTTGTATTTTTAGTAGAGATGGGGTTTCACCATATTGGCCAGGCTGGTCTCAAACTCCTGAACTTGTGATCTGCCCACCTCAGCCTCCCAAAGTGCTGGGATTACAGGCATGAGCCATGGAGCCCGGCTGCTTCACTCCAACTTTTATTGTTTTTGTTTTTTTTGTTTTTTGTTTTTGAGACGGAGTCTCGCTCTGTCGCCCAGGCTGGAGTGCAGTTGCCGGATCTCAGCTCACAGCAAGCTCCGCCTCACAGGTTCACGCCATTCTCCCGCCTCAGCCTCCCGAGTAACTGGGACTACAGGCGCCCGCCACCTCGCCCAGCTAGTTTTTTGTATTTTTTAGTAGAGACGGGGTTTCACCGTGTTAGCCAGGATGCACTCCAACTTTTAAATGAGACATTTGCCTCATGATGTATTGATGGCTGAGCTACAGTCTCTTCAGAGGCGGGTAGCTGCTGTGCTGGGGCCTCCTGCTCTGTTGAAGTAGAGTGAACCCTCTCAAGGGACTGTGAAGGCAGAGCTGGGACCTCCTCCTGGGTTGAAGAAGGTTCTACCTCCCCAGGGAGCTGTGGAAGCTGCTCTGGGGCTTCTTGCTGGAGTGAAGAGGACTGGATTTCTTCAAGGTTTCTGGATTTTGGGTTTCTGGCTCTAGATGAAATTGAAAAAGTCCAACTTGCTCAGGAGGCCCTGAGTTCACCTGGAGTTCTGGGGACAGGGTGCCTGGATACAGTATATTCATACTTGAATTTAAATATCCTGCAAAGTTTGTTTCTGACACTGAGGTTTTGATACAAATCGATGTGGAAGTTCCAGCCACAACCTTAGCAAGCCTCCATGCTGAGGTAGACCTTTCTTCAGGTTCTTGGGCCAAACAATAAGCTTCGTTGCTTTTGAATTCTATCTAGAGGTAGAATAAGTATTTCATATGCCTGATGATCTGCAGCTGATCTAGATTTGCAGTTTTAACCTTACTTTTGAGGCAAAGAGGCCGAGCTAGGGCCTGGTTCTGATCCCAGTCCAGCATTGGGACCACCTCTGGGAGCCTTTCTTGCCGAGTCAGCTTGTCATTCAGATTCTGGTGTGCAGCAAGGAACTGCTGTGGCCACGGGGGCAGCTCTCCAACTGAATCCGTGTCCAGGAATGGAACCAAAGTCTTGGTCAAAGTCTCAGTCAATTCCTGAGCCGGAGCTGACATCTGGGAGGAAGCAGAGGACCCCAGATGTTCAAAGCCCCCGGGTCTGCGAGGTGGCGGGAGGGTAAGCGCATGGGGCGATTCGGGTGGGAGATCGGAGGAGCGGGAAGACAAGGGCTCATCCGCCACAGGGCGTCGGAGATCAGCTGCAGCGGGTCCTGGACCCACTCCAGAGGCTGAGCTGCCTGGACGAGTAGCCACAGTAGTTGCCACGTGAGCAGGGGGCCGTGGGACCCAGAGACACAGCCGGAACATGACACGGACTGGCGCCGCGCACAGAGCTGGAGTCATTCTGGCAGCCCGGAGACGCTTGCGCCCCTAGCAACCGTGGGCACCGCCCTGTCCTTTATTTACGACACCTTTATAAGCAACCTTTATTAGGCTGAGGTCTAGATCCGCTCCTCGTCACCAGGGCGATCTTACCCTACAATCCTGCCCAAGCCTCCCTTCCCCAAGCCCCGCCCTGCAGGAACACTCCTCCTCTCCCTAAGCGAGGAAGGATTTAGGCAGCAGACCTGGGTGGTCCCAAGACTCCAGTAGCCTATTGTGGTGGTGGTGGGGTGGGGTGGGGTGCAGGCGCGGTAGAGCTTCCCAAGGAAGTCACGGGACCTCACCTCGGGATATTCAGAAGTGCTAGTCCAGTCCTGGCAGCCTGAATTCTTTCTCCTCCAAGCTGAAATCCGAGAGATACTCTTCCTCCTCTCGGCCATACAGCTTCCAGGGAAAACAACTGACCTGCAAAATCTGCGCCAGTTAGGGTGGCTCGCAGAATACACATTATGGTCATTTATTCCAAAATGTTGCCATTTTCGCTAAACTTTCGATATCCTTTGTTGCATGTTTGATCATTAATTCACCGCCCTATTAAGTACGGGCTGCCAGGGAACGAGCGAGGACTCCAAATTTTCTGTAGGAGGTGTTTTGGGGGGTGGGCAATTCAGTCTAGGAGAGAAGGCCTTAATCCGAGTGAATAGCCCTTTGCTGGGAGGGCCGTTAGACTGGGAGGAGGCTGAATTGTCATCCTGCCTTGACTTAATACAGCCTTTACCCTAGAAGCTACAGCGCCACTCTTCAGAAGTCTACCCTGTGTGCACACATGGAGAAGACGCTTAGGTTGTTAAAGTCAGCATGTTAAATAATTTTCTGAAACGCAGCTATAACTAGAACCCAGCTGGCTTCCCCCACAGCCATTCTTACCTATTTTATTACTCATTGTCTGGCACAATTACAAAGTGCGGGTGGTACTGATACCTACCTTTTAGGGTTTTCTGATGATTTAATTTGATAATGAATGTACACTGCTTTGCAAACAGTGAGCTTTCAATAAAAGGTACCTATTGTAATTCTCAAAAAAAAAAAAAAAAAAAAAAGTGCACTATCTTGAATACGCCTAACAAAGAGACCTATCATTTCCATGCCCTCATATGGAGATTTAACTGAAAGAGAAGATTGAGAGGGCATGCACATGACAATCTCATCTTAGAAAGACCATGGATGGGGAATTCCATAACCAGAGGCCTCTTCCGGTTTGCTGGTATTCCTCTCCTTGAAAGGTCAGCACTTAATATTTCCACTGTGATGCAACGAGGATGGAAGGCAACAGTAGGAGCTGTGGAAGCACAAACAATCCAGAGTCTTTAGCCTCAGTAGTAACACAGAATAGACTGGGCCTCGATGTCCTTACAGCAAAAGTAGGGGTACCTGTGCAGTCTTTTTTTTTTTCTTTTTGAGACGGAGTTTCGCTCTGTCACCCAGGCTGGAGTGCAGTGGCCGGATCTCGGCTCACTGCAAGCTCCGCCTCCCGGGTTTACGCCATTCTCCTGCCTCAGCCTCCCGAGTAGCTGGGACTACAGGCGCCGCGCCATTTTTTTGTCACCTCACCCCGGCTAGTGTTTTTTTGCATTTTTTAGTAGAGACGGGGTTTCACCGTGTTAGCCAGGATGGTCTCGATCTCCTGACCTCGTGATCCGCCTGTCTCGGCCTCCCAAAGTGCTGGGATTACAGGCTTGAGCCACCGCGCCCGGCCACCTGTGCAGTCTTAAATGAAACATGCTGCTTCTGGAGAAACACCTCTAGTCAAGTAGAGGAAAACTTACAGTTGCTTAAAGATCAAGTGAAAATCATTGACAGGTTAAGAGAAAATGCAGGCTCCAGCCCCGGATGGTTACAATCCCTCTTTAATGAATCCCAGTCTTCTTTGTGGAACTGGTTAGCTCCATTATTAAGTCCCCTTTTGCTCATGTGACCTTGTCTGCTCAATATTATAACTCAAATTGTTTCCTCTTGCCTAGAAGCAATCAAACTCCAAATGCTGCTGCAGACTGAAGTATGCATGGGCACGCCTTTCTTCTGAGGTCCCTTAGATAGACTCCAGGAGGAGTCCCAGCTGCTGTTCCCCACATGACGCCCCTTTTCAGAAGGAAGCAGCTAGAAAGAGTCATTGCCCAACACCCCCTAACAGCAGTTAGGGTTACCACTCCAGAGGGAGGTAATGATACAGGAGCTAAGAAGAAATTACTTAGGCAGATAGTAAGGGTATGGGAGTCCTCGGTAAGGCTTTTCTTTTTTAATGAAAAGCAGCCCCAAATCATTAAATCACTTTCTTTCTTTCTTTCTTTTTTTTTTTTTTTTGAGACAGAGTCTCGCTCTGTGGCCTAGGCTAGATACAGTGGTGCAATCTCAGCTCACTGCAACCTCCACCTCCTCCGCCTCCCAGGTTGAAGTGATTCTCATGCCTCAGCCTCCTGAGTAGCTAGGATTACAGGTGTGTGCCACTACGCCTAATTTTTGTAATTTTAGTAGAGTCAGAGTTTCACCATGTTGGCCAGGCTGGACTCGAACTCCCCACCCCAAGTGATCTGCTGGCCTCGGCCTCCCAAAGTGTTGGGATTACAGGTGTGAGCCACCGTGCCCGGCCCTCCAACTCACTTTCTAACAAAGAGTAGCCTGCAAGCTGGGAGCTTGCATGGGTGAATGCTGGCAGGAACTAAGGACTAGACATGTTTAAGATGGCAGCTTCGGCCAGGCGCAGTGGGTCAAGCCTGTAATCCCAGCACTTTGGGAGGCCGAGACGGGCGGATCACGAGGTTAGGAGATCGAGACTATCCTGGTTAACACGGTGAAACCCCGTCTCTACTAAAAAAAAATACAAAAAACTAGCCGGGCGAGGTGGCGGGCGCCTGTAGTCCCAGCTACTCGGGAGGCTGAGGCAGGAGAATGGTGTAAACCCAGGAGGTGGAGCTTGCAGTGAGCCGAGATCCGGCCACTGCACTCCAGCCTGGGCCACAGAGCAAGCCTCCGTCTCCAAAAAAAAAAAAAAAAAAAAAGATGGCAGCTCCACCTTCCCTTCTCTGCCAGCCACGTGTATTGTAAAGGAGTAGACACAATGGTGCCAATCAACTGGAAAGCCCATTTGCATAATAAGATTCAGGTGAGGCAACCATTCTTCCCTGTGCATTATTAGACGTCATACCTGATTGAACCAATCGAGCCCTACAAAAATCAGACACTGCCTCCTCAAACTGGACGATAAAACTCGGTGCCTTCATCTACAGCCGGTCGTTTGCCACTCGGTCCTTTCCTTCTCCGATTGGAGACCCCTTCCTCTTTGGAAGAAGCTATTTCTCTTTCTCTTCTCTTCTACCTATTAAACCTCCACTCCTAAACTTGTGTGTGTCTGTGTCCTAAATTTTGCTGGCACATAACAGTGAACCCCAGGGTATATACATGAGACAATGTAGCTGCTTCACTGTCACCACATGGCCTCTAACAACCCAGAATCCTCTCATCCTCCTTGAGGTCAGAGCCATTTCAATGGTGAACCCATCCACAACTATTCTGGGCTTAGAGAAGATGGTCAGGAAAGTGCTTTTTAATGATTTTGGCACTTCCTTCATCAATTGTCCTCTAGCTTTGGTAATGAAGGTGAATTCTGGGCCTTTTCAAGGAATATAATTATTGGGTTGCTCAGCAAGATACATATATAGATTCAGTAAATCATTCTTGCCTCCTGAGGTCTTTAAATGTCTTCCTCTAATTTATGTCAAGATACTTCCACTGTTGTACAAATTAATGATGGGCCAGAATCATATCCAGGTTTGCATAAACTAACACTTCGAATTTCTAGAATAATGGTTGCCAGCTGTCAGTGGGAGAACATCGGATGCAGAATCGCCAGTAAGTACACTCAAATCAATAAATTCATTTTGATCTAAAATTATATTCAGATTTTCCTTAGTTGAGAACTTTCCAAATCCACCTGCATAAATAGTCCCCTGCCCGCTCATTAAATAAAGTAGCAAATTCCTGTAATTTTTTCTTTGGGAAGGTCTCTTCTGCCCTATATTTGTCTACTTTTCATCCCCCAGGACATGCTAGGTGTGGACTTCAATTCTGGCTAAGGGGCAAAAAGGGACCTGTTTTCCCCAGCAATTAGGATAATTTTCCCAATTAAAGGAGGATCAAGTTCTTCAGGCAAGGGAGAAGGGAACACTTTCTTTCTTTTTTTTATTTTTTATTTTTGAGATGGATTCTTGCTCTGTTGCCCAGGCTGGAGTGCAGTGGCACGATCTCAGCTCACTGCAAGCTCCGCCTCCCGGGTTCACGCCATTCTCCTGCCTCAGTCTCCCGAGTAGCTGGGACTATAGGTGCCTGCCACCATGCCCGACTAATTTTTGTATTTTTAGTAGAGATGGGGTTTCACCGTGTTAGCCAGGATGGTCTCGATCCCCTGACCTCGTGATCTGCCCGCCTTGGCCTCCCAAAGTGCTGGGATTATAGGTGTAAGCCACCGCGCCCAGCTGGGAACACTTTCTTAGGGCTCAGTAGACAAATCTCTACATTCTCACTAAGAAATCTAACCAAGTCTTGGCTGGGCACAGTGGCTCACATCTGTAATCCCAGGACTCTGGGAGGCTGAGGCGGGTGGATTGCTTGAGCTCAGGAGTACAAGACCAGCCTGGGCAACATGGCAAAACCTTGTCTCTATAAGAAATATAAAAATTAGCCAGATGTGGTGTTGTATACCTGATGCCCCAGCTACTGGGGAGGCTGAAGTAGGAGAATCGCTTGAGCCCAGGAGGTCCAGGCTGTAGTGAGCCATGACTGGGCCACTGCACTCAAACCTGGGCAACAGAATAAGACCCTCTCTAAATTAAAAAAAAAAAAAAAAAAAATTCCATGTGCCAGGACATTATGGCAAGGGCAATCTTCAGAGCCTCTTGTAAAGCAGTATTGAGGTCCACAACACCTCCTGCAGCCATGCCTTCGTGGGCCGCGGTGGTGGGTTACGGGTGAAGCCAGAACTT